CGTCACCTACTTGTATTCGATATCGACATAGGGGCCCTGCACCTGGTGTGATGTTTTGGGAAGCCATTGGGTACACGACACGCACATCTCTAGTTCGAATCGATGGTAATTTGAACGCAGATCGGTGCATTTCTGATATCTTACATCCAGTTGCTGTGCCCTATCTTCGAGGCCTGTCGAACGCCATATTCTAACAACATAATGCAACACCATATGTTGCAAGTTGTGTCCTGACATTTCTCAATACATAGGGAATTTAACTGATGCTCTCGCCTGCATGGTCTCCAGATCTGTCACCCATTGAAAACATCTTTCATGGGTTGCTGAGAGACCGCAGAGTCACCCCTGTCCAGCTAATACGATTGATGAAGTGTGGCACATATTTGAAGCACCATGGAACTAGTTGCCCGTTTCTGTCATCCAATCCCAGTTCGACTGGATGCCTAACCGGGTAAGGAACGTTTTAGCTGCCAGGGGTGGCAGCTGTTTCTACTAATTTCACACCTCTGTAAACCCCTAAACTGCTTACAAATTTAATCATTTTGTCTTCATACCATACTGTTTACGTACAGTAATTTTTTTTTTTTGTTTTGTAATTGTTTTCCTTCATGGTGTTGCAATTTCAATAGCCAGCGGTGTCGAAAGAATTCAAAAATACAGTAGTCAGGTTTTAGTTATCCATACTATGTAGGGATCTCCTTGATCGAATAAAATGGCTTTCTCTTCATTCGAACCATAATTCCTTTATTTATATACAAAAACATTTAAGAAGTATAAAAAGACTACAACGCTGAGGACCCCTCTTATAGGAAAGGCCTATAAGGTCAATTAGGGCAATGAAGGATATATATCCTTCATTCCCCTAATTGTCAATGCCAGGATATTTAAATTTGGTAGTGCGTGTGAAGTAATGTAAATTCTACCCTTTAGGAGAAAAGGTTTAAATACCGAATTCTAGAAGGGAAAGTTAAGAGAGTGTGGGCATGCGCTGTATCTCTGTAGCGTGAGCTTCTGTTTCTGCATTTATTGTTGGCTAACGTGGCGTAACAGCTATTACTTTGCTGCCGCTAGATCTCGACGCGGGTTTAGGTAACAGGATTATCTGAGCCCTGTAGAGTAATTTTACTGCTTGTTAATATCTTCGAATTTTTAGAATAGTTCTTGCTATTTGAGTTACCACTCGAGTGAAGCGTAGTGTATTAGCGTCAAGTCGACACATTGTGAATTTTAAAGACTTAATAAAGGGTTCTGTTTACCCTTCTCCTGTGTCGTTTATACACGTACTTGAGCTGTCACATCAGAAGATAAACAAGTAGATACTACAGCCTATTAAATTATACACAATTTTCACTGCACTTTTTTTAATCTTATTTCTTCGCATTATTCTAACTTAATTAATCAATCCCTCAAAGCAAGCTGAAAATGGCATAAAAAACTGAAACCTTTGAAATTAAATATCCCGGTCAATTTTTGTCGCGCGTGACTCAAACATCTTATAATTTTATTTTTTCATAATGACTATAAGCCTTTCCCAAATATAAGCATAGAAACCGAAACAGCGAATTAAAAGTTAGATTTCGCTGTTTATCCAAAATTAATATTTTAAAATTTGACGTTGCCAAAACACGAATATTTTCGTCATTCAAAACACTTCTGCAACTGGAAGTGTATGAAAGTGACCACCCACCGATTGCAAAAATAAAGGCCAGAAATAAATAAATACAGGGTGATGGATATATATATACTTTTATTATTGTCAGTTGCACAAAGAAAGGAAGGTACACAATTATATGTTATAGTAGTCCCATGTACAAATTTTCAACATTCTGCGGCTAATCCTTTTTGAGTTATGTGAGATAAACTGCTCAAAACAATTAAACGATATTGTAAGTTTTATATAAAATAAAGATATAAGCGAAATTTTTTTTGCCGAAAATGGAAGAAGAGAAACACAAAGGCAAATTTTTCTGATTTTCAAAAGTGTGGAGTATGCTAATTTTGAGTTCGACGTCAAAAACGTCGCTTCAGCGGCAGCGAATGAAATTTGACTTCAACTGAATAAAAGACAATAAAGACAAGGATGATCGGCATTCAGTTACTGTTTTGTTTCGATGAGTACGATGTCTCAGCGAAGTCATTTAACCGATTCAGAAGAGATATACAATTCTACAAAAACATTTTAGGATCCATGCATACGTACGCATTAATCAGCCAATATAATTGTGAATGCTTGCGTCTTGATAATTGCGATGCTAAAGGCCCGAATAAAATGTTTTATTACAATTGTATAACTGCATTAATAAATGTTTTTTATTAGAAAGAGATTGCTATGTTATTTACTATTCATATTGCTAATATTTGGACAAAGAAAAAATGCGAATTAAATCATACTTTTTAACGTAATTAATTAATGAACTTTTACATGAATTAAATAAATCTGCATGTAAGTATACATATTTGCAAAAGCAACAGAGCGGCTTATCCAAACGTAAACAATTAACAAAAATAATAATAATAAAAAAATTTGGTAGCCCTGCTCTAAACATTTCTGGGTTTTAGTTTTTAAATGAATATCAGACCCTTCCTTAGTAAAATGATAAAAGGGTAAAAGATATTAAATATAATTAGCTGTACATGATTTCCTTCCCGGCGTTAGCCCTGCTCCAGGGGACAGAAAAACATGTTTGTTGTAAAAAGATCCCTTTGTATTGAGCAATTCTTTCATGATTCAGTAGACTAAAGAATATTCCTTCGAAAAATAAAAGTTACATGTCAAAAATGGGATTAACAATAAGGAGAGAGGACATCAAATGTTATTAAAATTTTTCACGTGAGCAAATTAGTTTTCAAAAAGATCCATTATATAAAACTCTAAATACAGTTATAAATGTTTGCAATTACTTATCCTTTCTTTAATGCATTAAATCGAAACCAGAAATTTTCATTACATGTAAAGTATAGTATTGAAATATATGCTATTAGAAATAAAATTAGTACTGAATTTATCATAAGCCAAAAAATTTATTAATTTAATAAAGATGAAAAAATAACTTTATTCAATTTAAAACATAAGTTACGAAAATAAAAAATGGCTCCTTTAAAACTGTCTTTTTATAAGCTTTTAGTTAGTTTACTCGTGTTTCACGGTGCCTTGAAAATTCTCATCGAATTTTAACCTACTTTCTGATAAGTTACCGATTTCAAATCTTGTACATACACTCTATGTTGATGACAACACAATGTGGGGAAGTGATTTTTCAAATTCATTTTGACTTTGTTTTATTCCAAAATATCTTACATAATTTTAGTTTTGTGCAAAGAAGCACAAAATATTTTCATATCATTGAAAAATGATACTTTCTGAAAGCTTTGATTAAATAATCATAGAGGAAGAGAATACGGACTTTTTTTTATTCAGAACAGTTGGCTAATAAAATATAAAAAATTGTATTTGAAACCTTTCATTCATTGAAAATCAAAGTCAATGCAAAATATATGTAATTTTTACCCTTGTAAACCATCTCTACTAAGGAAAGTATACTGAGGTTTTCATGTTATAAGGTATTTCTCCCTCCTTTCTGCATGTCTTCGTGGTGTAACGGTTAGTACACTCGGCGCGTTTTCGAGAGGTCCAGCTTCGAGTCCCGGCGAGGGAACTGATCCTCTCTTCATTTTCCTGACAATGTTATTAGTTTTTATTTTTAATAAAACATTATAGGGACAAATAGCCTCTTCAAACTTATTAATTAGAGCCGTGTTGGTTGGCAGTTTTGTGCTGTGATGAAAAGTCTTTATTATTCTGTGCATATTGGTTCTGTGTTATTGAAAGTGCTTTTTTTATAATTTGTTTTGTGCTCCGGTTTTGAAAAATGTGCCTTTTGTATCAAGATAATGATTATTTTTGAAGAAATGAATGATTGAGAATTTCATCGACCCGGAACGCCCCATTTGCATGCACGGCAATGGCTGCTACGGAGGATGACGTGTTTTACGATGCTCTTGAAAAACACTGTAAAATTATTGAATCAGCACTTCAATCTAAATGCAATATGAATCAACAGGTTCGCGAGGAGGCCAGGCAGGCTTTGGGTGAGTTGAAATCTTCTATTTATAAGAATTTTGAACGTATCAAAGCTGTTAAATTTATGGATGCATGTAAGGAAAGTTTGAAAGACGCCTTTTCAAGACCTAGTTATGCTAGTGTGGTGGCGCCATCTGATGTTACAAGGATTAATGAAAAATCCTTGATTTCTTCGGATTGTTGTTTAATTGTAGACTCTGAAAACTGCTCTTCTGACGATGTTAAGAAAGTTATTAAACTAAAAATTAATCCATTAGAAGCTAAGTTAGGTGTATATACTTTGAAAAATATTGGAAAAGATAAAGTCTTGGTTAAGTGTTTGAAAAAATGATCGGAATCGACTTCAAGCCGAGATTAATGAAAAGTCTCCGGAATTGAAACACGTCCTTACCAAAAAAGAGGAATCCTGTTTTACTTGTAAAAAATGTGCCAAATGAAATACCTAATGAAGATCTTCTGAAAGTGATTTTTGAACAAAATCCCGAAGTTGTTGAATCTGATGAAAACAGAAGTATATGTAGAGTTCGTTTTACTTTAAAAACCTTCCAGTTCACGAGGCACGTTGTGATTGAAACGCACCCCATGGTTCGTAAACGTATTCTGAATCAAGCCAGGTTGAAAATTAATTGGAGTATATGTGTAACTGACGATTTTATTATCATCAATAGATGTTTTAAGTGTCTTGGGTACAACCATCGTGCTGATGAATGTCGTGAGCGAACAGCCTGTTTTAACTGTTCTGGAGAACACAAGGCAAGGGATTGTTCGGATAGGAATGCTGTAGCTTGTATAAATTGCATCCGCTTCAATCATAAAACAAATAACAGCTATAAAAAAGTGAATATTAATCACAAACCTTTTTCAGAATGCTGTCCTAGTCATGAATTTATGAGAAAGAACATTCAATCTCGAATTGATTATGGCTAGACGCGTTCTAAAGTGTGTGCAGTTAAATCTTCATAAATCCAAATCTGCGACACAACAGCTAATTTTAAATATGGAAGCTGATGATATTGACTGTGCTTTGGTTCAGGAACCTCATTATTACAAGAATTTTCTTCCAGGATATCCTGGCACTTATAGACTTTATTGTGATCCTAATTCTGATAATGTAAAGGCGGCAATCATTATTCGATCACGTGATCTATCAACATTTCTTGATTATAAAAATACGGATTATAATATGGTTACCTTGGATATTACTGTTGGCTCAACTGTGCTCACTCTTTTTTCATACTATTTTGAACCCTCAAGAAACATTGACTTAGATCTTCATAAAATTAGTCAAGTCTTTATGTCCAAAAATCTTAATCGACTGGTTTGGTGTATGGACTCTAATGGCAAATCTGAATTATGGTTTAGTCCCTATTCTGACTCTCGTGGAGATAAACTGAGTGAATTTATTTCTGCCAACAACCTATTTGTTATTAATGAAGATTATGGACCTACGTTTCAGGCAACTCAGGGTTCTAGTTATATTGATGTTACTGTTATTGGTTCAGATCTTCTCCAGGATATTTCGAGTTGGCGACTGTCTGAAAAAGAATCCCTTTCTGATCATATGATGATTGAATTTGAATTTTGTCTTTCTACGTTCTTACGAGACACCTCAAATGTTCCTTTTAAAATCTTCAATACAGGGAAAGCAAATTGGGATCGTTTTCGAAAATTTTGTTCTTCTCGCATCACCCGTTTCATTGATATTCTTAACGACTGTACTGACGGTTCTCGACTAAATACTCTTGTTGAGAATTTTAGTTCTGTTCTTCTCCAGGCATCTCAAATTTCCATACCTGTTAGGAATCATGGTAAGCACAATGTTCCTTGGTGGTCTGCCGAAATTTTTTGTATGAGAAAAGGCTTAATGCCTCTAGGCGTAGATTTCAGCGTTGTAAAAATCCGCCTCTTAGAGAACTTTATAAAAGTAAATATCTTGAATATAGAAAAGTTTACAATCTAAAGCTTGCCGATGCTAAATCTCAGTCTTGGAAAACATTTCTTTCGACCATTGATGTTCACAATGTATGGAAAAAGATTTACACGTATGGAGTTAAAAGAGATTTCATGAAAAAAATTGAAATAACTGGTATTTGTCTTTCCACTGGAGAGACAACCAACTCTTTAGAAGAGACAATTACTGCTGTGCTTCAGAAATCTTTCCCCTCGGATCTAGAGGAAAATGATGATGATTTGCATAAGGAATACCGTCAAGCTGCGCGTACTGCTTATTCTTCTTTTGTAGATCCTATGTTTTCTTGTGATGAAGTTAATACAGTTATTTCTATGCTGGAACCAAATAAATCACCTGGTCCTGACTCTATTTCGAATGAGATTATTAAACAGTTTCATTTAATGTTTCCTCAATTTCTCCATAAACTTTTTAACGTTTGCCTAAATGTTGGCATTTTCCCACGTGTTTGGAAACATGCTCAAGTAATTCTTATTCCTAAAGGAAATGAGTCTAGGATTCCTTGCCTAGATAACCTTAGGTGTATAAGCTTACTTCCTGTTTTGGGTAAGTGCTTGGAAAAACTTTTTATTAACAGAATTTGCTGGTATCTCCGCCATAGGAGACCTTCTTTCTGGTAATCAGTGTGGTTTTACACCTCAAAAAAGTTCTGAAGACGCTCTTTTACGCTTGAATGAAATTGTTCAGAGAGGAAAAAAGAAAAACTTGCACACTATCTTGGTCTTTTTGGATATTAAGGGCGCCTTCGACTATGCGTGGTGGCCTTGTATTCTCAATCTTCTCAAAAAAGTGGAACTTCCATTGCTGCTGATTTTTTAAATGATCGGGCGGCCAAATTGCAATTGGGCTCGGCTTCTGCAATTCGTCACCTTGAAAGGGGTTGCCCTCAAGGTTCTGTTTCAGGACCTACGTTTTGGAATATTATTATTAATGATCTCCTATTAAAACTGGAAAATCTTGCTTGTTGTGATACTATAGCCTTTGCGGATGATGTTTTGTTTTGCTTCCAGAGTAGGGACCTTTCTGCTACTTTTTTACAGGCACAAGAGACTTTAAATTTCGCCTCCAACTGGTCAAAAGGTTTTAAATTAGATTTTAATCCTGATAAAACCAGGGTTATGATTATTGAAAAGCGAAACATCTGTTATGATGCATTTCAGTTATCTCTCGATGGCACCCCTTTGACTGTGGTAAAGCAAATGAAATATCTTGGGGTTTTTCTTGACTGTAAATTTTCTTGGAAACAACACTTAACTTATGTATCAGAGAAATGTGATAAATTACAGCGTGGATTAAGTCGTATTGCACGCAACACATACGGTATTAATTACAACGTTCATTCGCTCATCTATAAACAAGGAATTGCCCCCTTCATTATGTATGGCTCTAGAGTCTGGGGTATATCGCTCAAGAAGAAGATAAATTATAGATATTTACGACGTGTTCAAAGGCGGATACTTCTGCGGGTCATATGTGGATATCGTACCGTAAGCTATGAGTCTGTTTATGCAATTTCTGGCTTTCCTCCAATTGACATTGCCATTCTTCATTCTATTGCTTATAAGGAAAATATTTCTGCTTCTACTGTCTCTCAGTATGATTGTATATTTACCTCTATCTGATCTCCCTCATCCTTCAGAAAGAAATGCTGTTAATTTTATTCAGTTTAGCAATAAAATCGTAGATGATTCGCCTGTAACTTGCTATACTGATGGCAGCAAAATTGATGGCAAGGTTGGTCTCGCATTTGTTGTCTTCAAAAATGGTCTTGAATTTGAGCACTTTCAATTTAGAATCAGAGATGAATGTACCGTTTTCATAGCTGAACTTTTGTGCTTAAACTTCGCCGTCAAATGGGTCTCTAAACAAAACAGTGCTGTTTCAGACTATCTCATTTGTACTGATTCCCTTTCATCCTTGGAGATCTTAAAATGTATTTCTTCTTCTAATAATATCATTATCGAGATTCAAAAAGAACTGAAAAATCTAAAGGATAAAAATATTTCGGTTTCATTTTCATTTGTTCGTGGTCATACAGGTGTTGTTGGGAACGAACGAGCCGATTTCCTTGCTAAGACTGCGACTAAGCGGGAAATTGACACTTTTGTCAATATCCCTAATTCCTTCTATAAGAAGGTCATGTATGAAAGCATTGTGGAGTCGTGGAATCACGAATTCATTAATTCAAATAAAGGGAGTTTAACTAGAAGATTTTTCCCTTCTATTAAAATGAGATTGTCGTGTCATCATTTCTTCACAAATTATAAATTAACCCAGTTTCTTACTGGACATGGGAATTTTAAAAGTTATTTGAACAGATTTAAGTTGAGTCCTGAGTCTGTCTGTGACTGTGTCCTCGGCGGCGAGGAGAATGTAGAACATGTGCTTCTTCTATGTCCTAAATATGAGAGCGAAAGAAAAGTCTTGAAACTGGGACTGAAAAATTTTAATATTAACTGGCCTCCAGAGTTTTACCAATTTATTTCCGAGAGAAGTGCTTTTAACACTTTTTGTCAATTCATTGTAAAACTGTGTAATCATCCTTAATTTTATTTCAATTTTCTCTTCTGTTTAGTTTGTATTGTGTTTCTTACTTACTTCTGTAAGCCCCATGTGATACTATGTGGTACATGGGGAACTTGTTGTGTTTCTTTTAATAAAATATATATATATATATATATAAAACTTATTAATTAAAAACTTCCTGAGCAACTCAGAAACTCACTCACTCAAAAACTCAGAAATTCCAAGCAAAGAACATGATCTTAAGAACGGGGACAAAACAGGCACCTCAAACTTATTAATTAAAAACTACTGAGGCAAAAGTTGGCACAAAATGAAATATTCCTCAGAAATATTAATACAATTTGCTATCGATTTGTGGTACGATTACGCATAAATTAAGGTATTTTAAAAATTCAGAAATTCCAAGCAAAGAACTTGATCTTAAGAAATAAAACACATCGACTACTATTTTTTTTTTATACTCATGTCCATAAATTTGGGTGGTCCGTTTGGGGTGGAAATATACAGAGCTTCAGAACACATCTGCATGTTCAATCCGGAACCATGATAGGCCAAATTTATCGGGACATCATTCTGGAACAACATGTGCATTTTCTTTCAACGTGTACGCTTTCGTTTACATGTATGTGCCATGCGTGCACGCCTAAGAAAACGACTTGTGTTTTGCAACCCCTTGTGTTTATGGATGGCAACGCCCTTCCTCACCGAGCAAACACTGTAAAGAAATGCTTTCAATCTGAGGATATTACCCTTATGAAATGGCGAACATTCTCACCTGAAATAAACATGAAGCCGATAGAGCATGTGTGGATGTGCTTGGTTGACGAATTGCAGTCCGTCAAGAACTTCCTACATGTGTACCGGAACTTCGGACAGCATTGCTTGCTGGAGTAATCTTCCTCAAGATCAGCTCGATAATTTAATACTCAGCATGCCTAGATGTCGTACGGACTATATTTTATCTTCTGGGAGACATACAATGTGTTAACCAACATGTAATATTACCAGTATGCATGTACCAATACCAACCATGTAATATTAAGTTTTTGTAAGGGAGATATTTTTTATACTTTCTTCCGGGAGCTAAAATCGTAGTTTTTATGAATGGTATCATACATACACCCTCATTTTTCTTTTATCTTTTGTTTAATAAATGGGCTATTTATGAATAAATCACGTTTGCTTTGATTCTGAAGCTTTATTTGCCGGAGCAGGCAAAATTCAAAATTTATAGACTTGAGCGTAATAATTAATATGAACCAGCTTTCCTTAGAACGATTTTATAGAATCCACATTTCCTAAGCGATAATTCCTCAGCAGTTTAGCAGCAACTATGAAAAAATACCTACCTATCAACATATGAAACAATCTTTCAGGATAAACAAATTATTTATCACTTTCAGAGGACATCGCTACGAGATGATTCACCATGTGTTAAGAAAGAATAATAAATAATGCAAAATGTTTTATATAAAAAAAAATCAAAAACTGAAATGCTCACGAAAGGAAATAAAAATTAACTAAATGGAATATTTAGGTAAATTTAGTAAAAGTTAGGTACTCTTAGATAAATATAGTGAACCCTCTGTAATGCAACTATTTACTTTTCTAAATGATGCATATTCTGTGAAGCTGGTCGTCTTAGAAAGATGAGTTTTAATACCAAAAGTTCATAGCTATACTGATTGCTTTTAAAAGTGGTCGTCTTACGAAGATGGTTCATTGTATATTATAAAAGTTCAAACAAAAAAATTTTCGAATATCTATCCGGAAAAATTTAAGAATATTTTAAAATTACTTATAACAAATGTCTAATTATAAAATTAAATATAAGGAATCCCCTTTAAAGTGACCATTCACGATTTCATATCTTTTTAGACTTCAGTAAATGCGGTCATTTAAGATAACATTGCCTTGCTCGGAAAGTCCCTAGTGGCCAAGGGATAAAATCGCTGAACATGGGTAGTTTGACCTAACGAACAAACTGGCTGTTTGGGACTTTTGCTGTTTCTCTATTATATAAAGAGG